ACTTTTTTCTTCTGTTTTCAGAGTGTTCTCTTAATTTTTTATTTTCTGAAGTTTAAATATTATAAGTCTAGGTGTGATTTTTGTTTGTTCTGTTTTTCTTTGTTGCTGTTGTTGTTTTACTATTTTCCCTGCTGTGTGTACTCTGAACTTTTTGGAAACATCATTTGCTGCCTCTCATTAATTTTGGAAAGTTTCCAGCCGTAATGATTTCAAACATTTCTCTTACTACATTCTCTCTTTCTTTCTAATCTTCCAATTTTGTGTATGTTTCATATTTGCAAATTTGCCCACAGTTCTTGGATGTTATTTTTTGCATCATTTCTTTTCATCTTTGCATTTCAGTATTATAATTTGGAAAGTTTATATTGACCTACTTCCAAGCCTACTGATTCTTTCATAAGCCACGCCCCGTAAATGATGGGCTCATCAATGGCATTTTTCAACTCTCATATAGTGGTTTTTTTATTATTATTTTTAGAATTTTTTTATTCTTACTGTTTTCATCTCTCTGCTTACATTACATATCTGTTCTTGATACTGTCTACTTTTTTCATTAGAGTCTTGACATAACAGTCATATTTATTTCACATTCCCTACTTGGATAATTCCAACATCTGTGTCTTATCTGAGTCTAGTATTGATGATTACTTTTTCTTTTCAGACTACTTTCCTTGCTGTTTGTTATGCTTATAATAGTTGTTGAAGTTGGATGATGACATAATAAGAATGGTAATAAATAGGACTTAAGTGTAAGATTTATGTTAATTTTGCCAAGAGTTGGGCTGTGTTCGTTGTTGTCTGTAGCTATATGTGCCAGAGGTTTTTGTTTTCTCTACTGTCCTTCCTCACCTTCTTGATTTCATGTTTTCCTTTGAACTCCTCTACCAAAGAGATTTTGTGTTATAGAGCTCTTTCAATTTGAATTCACAGTTATCACACTGAATTGCTGTTTGTGGGTGATTCAAAGAACTCTAATGTCTTCCAATTAAATCTCAGTCTTGTAGTGTGCCTGTGTCCCCAGGCTGTGTCTTCTCAGGTCTTTCTCCAGGGGTACATCACACACACATCAACATGTGGCTAGTAGCTACCTTATTGGGCAGTGCAGATGAAAGTATTCTTCTAAATAGCCTGTTAAAAAGTGATAAATGATATCCAATAATTTTGATGAAAAGATGATTTAATATAATGCTGTTATGAATTTAACAGCAAAATTTACCCTTTGTAGGTGTATAGTTTGATGACTTAAATATTCATAGTCGTACACCTACCGCCACAATCGAGATATAAAACATTTTTGTTCCCTAAAAAGTTGTATTATGACAATCCCTCCTTACCCTCAGCCCCTGGAACCACTGATCAGAATCTGTCCCTATAGTTTGGTATTTTCCAGAATTATATAAATCATAAAGTATTTTTGTGTGATTATAAAGCCATTTCATATCTGCTTCTTTCATTTAGCATACGGTTTTAAAGATTCATTCCTATATTTTTATTTATCAATAGTTTATTCTATTGTATGTGTAAACCACCTTGGTATTTTCCAGTGTTGCCCAGGACAGTGAACTGCTGATGTTCCTGTTAAATATTTCATTGAGTTTTTTTGTAAACTATGTACGATACTCATTTGGGATTCCTTCTCTTCAGCTTTTATTTAAAGTAGGCTACGGTGGTGTATTTTACTGCCAATAATTAGTATTTTTGTAATATCGATCCCCAGAGAATTGTTTGTCTTTGTTTTATTTCAATAGATTCCCTTGAGCCTGTACTAAGTAGAAAATGATAAAACTGCAGCACATTATAAGTATACTCTGGCAATGTGGTATCTCTTTCTTGGAAGAGTTATTTATTTTCATCAGATGATTTCCTGATTTTATTTCTCACGTCCCATTTTTTACTTATTTCATTTTACTTCATTGTGAAGAATATATACATATCTTTGAGGTTTTAAATGATGGCAATTTCAACTGTGAGAACAAAATTTTACAAATTTCGACTTATCTGAAACGGATGTTCATTAAGATTATTGATGCCTGAGTCCCAAGCTTCATAGTGAGTGTGAATTTGAGGGAACAGGGAAATTCTCCACAGCAGCACAATATGTTACAGCAGCAGTACACACTGCCTCTCCCCAAACAATCATTGATAATAAATCTTTCTATTGGAAAATAAAACTATCACCATAAAAGTGAATAAAATTGCCTCTCCCCAAACAATCATTGATAATAAATCTTTCTATTGGAAAATAAAACTATCACCATAAAAGTGAATAAAATTGCCTCTCCCCAAACAATCATTGATAATAAATCTTTCTATTGGAAAATAAAACTATCACCATAAAAGTGAATAAAATTGCCTCTCCCCAAACAATCATTGATAATAAATCTTTCTATTGGAAAATAAAACTATCACCATAAAAGTGAATAAAATTGCCTCTCCCCAAACAATCATTGATAATAAATCTTTCTATTGGAAAATAAAACTATCACCATAAAAGTGAATAAAATTGCCTCTCCCCAAACAATCATTGATAATAAATCTTTCTATTGGAAAATAAAACTATCACCATAAAAGTGAATAAAATTGCCTCTCCCCAAACAATCATTGATAATAAATCTTTCTATTGGAAAATAAAACTATCACCATAAAAGTGAATAAAATCATCATGAATTATGTTAGTATACTTCTTTTTAATGCACACTGGGGGGAATGAATAATCAATCTTAAAAGGTAAGTCAACTGTAATTTTAACTTTAAAATTAGAAATTAGGACAAATAAATGTTCTCACTCACATGCGGATGCTAAAATGTTGAAGTAGAGAGTAAAATAGCGATTTCCAGGAGCCAAGAAGGGTAGGAGAAAGGGGGTTGGAAGAGGTTGTTTAAGGGATACAAAATTACAGCTAGATAGGACAACTGCAGTAAACAATAATTCATTGTGGTTTTTCCAATATCCAGAAGAGAGTATTTTAGATGTTACCAAAACAAAGAAATGATAAAGATTTGAAGTGATGGATATGCTAGCTACCCTGATTTGATCAGTACACATTGTACACATATATGGAAATATCACATTGTACCCCATAAATATGTACAATTACTATGTGTCAGTTAAAAAATAAATTAATTTAATTTTAAAAAGAAATAAAAACAAATGCACAGTAAGTCCAATTCAGGGAGTTAAATTTGACTTCTAAATTGTCTTGTTCTAGAAATCTTTTTAAATTATAGATTAATTTTATGGTGATGTATTAATAAGTGTTATAATCTATTTTATTCATAGGCTGTTGCATCTATGTTTCATTTTATCTGACTTTATGAATTAAGTATTACCCTAGTTGAAGTGATGTGGAAAAAAATACTGAGCAACTGTTCTCTAGAATTTGAGATAACATAGTTCTTCTCTAACTGTCTGTTAGACCCACATGATACAGAAATTGTTTGACTAACTCGTACAAAACTTTTAAGATCAGAAGTAGAGCAAAGACATTAATCTTACAGATAAAAAGGACAGAAATATACATTTTTGACAATAAAAGCTTGTGTCCATTTATAGCTGAAGGCTGCAAGTCTTCAGTTGTCATTAAAAAATAATAAAACCACTTATCAATATCTGTTTTGGAAAAATCACATTATGCATGTAAAATATTAGCATTATTTTTTTCCAGATCAGTTAAAAAAGTAATACATGTAAAGTATAGAAATATTAATAAGACAAATGCAAAAGAATAAAGATAACAAAGAGAATGCTTTAGTAACCCACTTCTTTTAAAAATCCACAGATAACGCATACAATGAAGAAGACTGGCATGTTTAATATAACGGGAGGATGGTACAACATGGGACTAAATAGAATTCTTATATGTAGAAAGGAAAAAGTAACATTTTTTCTGTCATATTCAATAGTTTTATAAAGAATATAGAGGAAGTAAAAAAAAGTGCCAAAATTATGTAGACACATAAAAGAATACATCTCAAAAAAGTTAATTGAAAAGAAGACACAATATTATCACTATATATAACTTGCTTGCTTTTGTCATTTTGTTTTATTTGTCCTATATGCTGCTAAACACCTGTCCATTTGAATATAGATAAGGCAATCAAGAAAATTAATAATAATATTGGTATACTCTCAGTGCTCAGAAAATTTCGAAACTAGCATCTTTAACTAACTACTGGAAATCAATACTGCCTCAGTCAATGACAAGCACAGGAATTGTAATATAACCCTAAATCCTGGTTTTGAAACATTACCCTGATACTCATTCTAAAAAGACAAATCAATTTACTACAATTTGCACAGGTTATGAAAAAATAATAGAAAAATAAATTTTAAATTGTTAATATTCTATTTAAATTATACATGCAGAACAGAGTTCATTTGGCTAAAATGCATATTAACCAAAAATATTTATTATTCAGATACTGGAGGAAATTTTGTGAGAAATGTCACAAAGAGAAGTAATACGAAGTTAAAGAAAATTATATTAAGTGAAATAAGCCAGGTATAAAAGAGAAATACTGCATATCCTCACTCATAAGTGGGAGTTAAAAAAAAAAAAGAAAGAAAGATATAACAATTACAATAATTTGTTGAACTTTCAAAAGTACAGAACATAAATGAGGCCACCAGAGTTGGGAAAGGGGGAGGTGGGTTAGTGTGAAATTTGAAAGGGCCACAAAAAGTTATTGCATTGTGTAATGTTGAATATACTAATTATCCTGATTTGAGCATCACACATTGCACACAGATGTTAATATTTAAGATTATATACCCCACAGATATGTGCAATCCATTATGTTTCAATAAAAAAAGAGAGAACTACTAAATTAAAGGGAATTTTTAATTAATCTGTGGCATGTAATTACGTGTCATCTGCAATTTCAGGCTGGAGAAACCATTTGCAGATGGCTAAGTTTGTAAATATGTAACTTTTTTATACACACAAACTAATTTTGTTCTTTTTTTCCTATACAGACTTGATAAGGTCCACAAAAGGGAAATGAAGAACAAATCAATGGAAATAGAGTTTATTCTCATAGGACTGACAGATGACCCACAATTGCAAACTGTGATTTTCCTGTTTTTATTTCTCAACTACACATTAAGCCTGATGGGGAACTGCATCATCATCCTCCTCACCCTGCTGGATCCCCGCCTTAAGACTCCAATGTATTTCTTTCTCCGTAATTTCTCCTTTTTGGAAATCATATTCACAACTGTGTGTATTCCCAGATTCTTGATAACCATTGTGACTAAAGACAAAACTATTTCTTATAATAATTGTGCAGCTCAATTATTTTTTATCCTTTTACTGGGAGTTACAGAGTTTTACCTCCTGGCTGCCATGTCCTATGACCGCTATGTTGCCATCTGCAAACCGCTGCATTACCCAATCATCATGAACAGCAAAGTGTGCTACCAACTTGTGCTCAGCTCCTGGGTAGCTGGATTCCTCATCATCTTCCCTCCATTGGTCATGGGACTCAAGCTGGATTTCTGTGCTTCCAAAACTATTGATCACTTTATGTGTGAAACTTCTCCTATCTTACAGATCTCTTGCACAGATACACACATCCTAGAATTAATGTCTTTTATCTTAGCTATGATGACACTTGTGGTCACATTGGTATTAGTAATTCTCTCTTATTCTTGTATTATTAAAACCATTCTGAAATTTCCCTCTGCACAGCAAAGGACCAAAGCTTTTTCTACCTGTACTTCCCACATGATTGTTGTCTCTATGACTTATGGTAGCTGTATCTTTATGTATATTAAACCATCTGCAAAAGAAAGAGTGACTGTATCCAAAGGTGTAGCTTTGCTATATACCTCAATTGCCCCTTTACTAAATCCCTTCATTTATACTTTAAGGAACCAGCAGGTGAAAGAAGTCTTCCAAGATGTATTACAAAAGATTTTGTGTTTTTCAAAGAAAACATTTTAAGAATATGGTACAAATTAATTACCTTACCATAAAAACTGAAAAAACATATTTCATGCATCTGTTTTGATCATGTTTTTCCACCTCATTATTTATCGCATATGGGAGATTCTCTTGAAGAATCTTATAGTTTAGTTCCACCTTTACATTCCACTCTTTCTCTTGCAACATTTCACCCTAACACAAAAACATTTTTCAATTCTTTCATTGAAATTTTAAATAACACCTCCTTTTGGCCTACCAGTTGTCATGACTTTGAATAAAGTATATATGGTATAAGTGTAACATGCTGTATGTAACTTGTTCATTAATTCTCCATATATTTGATGTGTATCTGTCTTATTCTAAACATTATGAGGGGCTTAATCCTTACCTTTAAGAAGCTTTCACTACCTAAAAGATACAAACACATAGACCAGATTATTTCTACACAATATGTAGTTAGTGTTAATAAATGCCTACAAAAATATTTCAAGGCAGATAGGATGACTCCTACAGATAGGATGACTCCTACAGAATTTTGAAGATAAGAGAGGCTTTTCTGGGGAAAGTAAGAATGATGCTAAGACTAAAAATGAATAAGAAAAGAAGACTGAGATATAAATATGTGCAAATCACACAGAACTATTAGGTAAACACATGCCTTTGGAGAATTAGTATATCTAATGGTTAGAAAAATGCTTTGAAATATTTGGCTTGGTTCAGTAAAATTTTGCCACACACCCCCTAGGACACTGCACAGATTATGCAAACTGTTATATCTGTGTTCTTTCATATGTAAAATAGGAGAAATGTAACAACCCATATCTCCTTGTTCAGTAAATGCATGCTATCAGAACTGTTTACCACTCAGTAAAGGATGATGAACTATTCATGAATGTGGAACAACTAACACCTGATGTGCTGATGAAAGCAGAGGCGATAAGTCTGGAGAGGGTCAAAACATAAAGGGACCTGTTCTCCAGAATAGTAATTTGGACTTAACCCTGTTATAGCAATAATTTTCAAAGGTTTTATTTATAAGAATCACCTATATAATTTTATAAATGTAATTTCAACTTACCATTCCTAATGTTTCTGAGTCAATATGTTTAGCATATGCTTCCCAAGTTATTCTGAGGTATCAAGTCTTTTCTTGACACGACTACAGAAGTCATTGAAAGTGTACTTAAGATAGGAACTTTAATGTTCACCTCTTTTATTTTAGAAAGATTACTCTTGGAAATGCGATTGAATATGAGCTGTCTCAGAGTCAGGAAACAAGTGGAAGCCATTGCTTTAAACTATTTATACATTTTGAAACTTAGTGTATAAATGCCATAGTGAGTCTAGAATATAAGTAATAGAATCAAGATATTTATGAGAAACAAATTACAGATTTCATTAAACTTTTAAATTATGAGAATAGTTGAATGGGAGAAATTGAGTTTAATTATCCATTTACACAATCCAAGACATATACATGAAATGATTTTGAGGAAGCGTTTTGTAATTATCTCATTAAAGTTTGCAGACACGAAGAAATTGTCAAAATGAATAGTTATCCAAAGAATGAGATTTCTCAATCAAATAAGGAATCCGTATAAAACAAAATGAAGCAAAAAACAGGTACTTTATGATGCTTTATTGTTGTAGTTAGTATCTGCTGTATTTCTCGTTCTAATTCTTCTTCTTCTTTTTTTCACAGTGTCTTTAATCATCCTCTTATTCCATAGGGAAATGTTGTAATATCATGATTTTTCTTTTAACTTCCCATACCCCTCTTCTTTATAGGCCCTCCCCTCTCCTGTCAGCAAAGTTTCCTGGGGTCCTGATTTAATGTAATAAATACATGTATGGAGGTGAGACTTTGGAAATATTTGCTTTTATATATTAACGTATTATATTATACTATAATATATTAGTATATATTATAAAATAATATATTATATATATGAGTAGTACTTCAAAAAGTTCACGGAAAGATTCATGTTATCTTTCATTCTATTTTTTCACTATTTTTCTGAAGTACCATCATGGATAGATAGACACCAGTTTTCATCTGTAAGTGAACTTCCTCTCAAAAAGCCAAAGCAAGGAAAAGAAGTATTTTTTATATCCGAGCTTTGGAAATTATGCAACAAGTTTTTAACCAATAACTAATTATGAATGTTGTAGTTTATTGCTTTTGAATATTTTATTAATTAATGTAGTGTAATAATCAGAGCTTCCTTTCTGTTCTTCCCTGGATATTTGAAGTTTCTCTCCACAAAACAAAATCTTCACTCTGTTTAGAGGGTAACACATGAGTGCTGATGTTCTCAAATTTCAGGTCCTGGGACCTTATCCACTTATTTCCCCAGTAACTCTATCAAGGAATATTCCTTATTTAAATTGATCAGAAAACTTATATTCTCTTCTCCTCTGTAAATTTACTCCCTATTGTACATTTTCTTCTGGATCTCCCAGGAGTGTGTCCTAAGTGGAAAAGTAGAAGTGCATGAAATCTCAGATCCATCATTACTTTGACCTTGGTCATTTCAGTCTACAGTGTACAGAAATCCTGATTATTACACTTTGCTTTTGAATTAAGATAATTCTTTCATGTCCTATAAGAAACAATTAGCCCTCAAATTTTAATTTTATTATATTGCGATACTCATGTATCTGGATGAAAAGAGTGTGGAGAGACATAAGGAGAAAGAGAAAGACAGGGTGAGAGAGACTTGAATTGGACTAAATGAGATTTTTTTTTTTCAGAAAGTCTATAACAGACTGATTTTTATATCTGCATTACTTCCATTTATTTCTGCAGACCAATCACTTCCCCACTTTCTGAAAGTCTGGATCATGTCTTTATAATGTAAATTATAGCATCATTTGATTTTCAGTATGAAAATGTCCTTTTGTATATTCATTTTATCTTTGAGGAAACACAGGCCCCATGATTTCTAACAACTCTCCTAAGACCACATAAATGGTCAGTGATGTAAGACTCTCATTGCCAGGACTACTGGCATATCTTAATTTTTACCACCATCATCATTTTTGTCCTCATTGTCTGTATCACATTTATATTTCTTATTGATGCATGAATGTTATCATCATCTCTTTACTCATTCTCATTTAATATGCTATAGACAAAAACAGGAAAATATTCTTCTTGTTTACCTCAGTACTATATTGTCTTAATTTATGTTTAATTTCTTTATCATACTACTCAGGTGATATACCTCATTGCTAGCAATGATTAAGTGATATTTATAATACCATATTAAGTATGTACATGATAACATTTGATAAATTAATTCTTAGGATTTTGTTTCAATCACAGGAACAAATATAAATCTTGAAAATTAAAGAAACAATGAAAAATTTAGTTGTAATCTTCCTAATGATTCCAAGTATTTTTTTTATACATGATCAGTTTTGAGAAGAAATAGTCATCGTACAATACCATAATTGCAGGGAAGGAAAGAGATACCAGGACATCTGTAGCTATCTTTTTCTATCCTTGATGATGCCTGAGGTAGTTTTGGTTTAGATCAGACCAATTTAAAAATGCTTAGGTGGAACATAATAGTTGATAGACAACCAAGACTCTCAGGGCTCTACAGATTATATGTTTATGCAAGTTTGAAAATACTTTTATCAGGAAAAACACATAGTTTTCATAAATTAAAATTTCTCAATCTCAGTACTATTGACATTTCGGGCCTGACAATTTTTTGTTTTGTGTGGCTGTCTTTCAACAAATGATGCTGGAAAGACTGGCTGTCCATGTGCAAAATTGTCAACTGTGATCCATATTCCACACCATGTACAAAATTTAATGTACATGAATCATAGGTATAAAAATTAATATAAAGGTATAAACTTCACAGGAAAAAGCATAATAGAAAATACTTGTGAGCTTGGGCTAGGTAAAGTCATGCCCCTCGGCTCCCAAATTGATAAATTCAAATAATTGAGATTAGAAATATCTGCTCTTCAAAAGACATTATTTGTGAATGAATAGATAGGCCTCAGGCTGGAAAATATTTTCAAATCACACATCTTAAAAATAACTTGTACATAGAATACATAAAGAATATTGAAATGTAATAATATAGGAATAAATAAAAAGAGAAAATTTTAAGCATTAAATTTACCAAAGAAAAAATAAAAATGGCAAATAAGCATAAAAAAGATGACCAACATCATTGGCCATAAGAGAAATGAAATTAAAATCACAATCAGATACAAATATGCATGTTTTGGAATGGTTAAAAAAAATGTAACCATAGCAAGTGTTGACAAGGATGTGGAGCAATTGAAACTCTCATACACTGATGTTGGGAATGTAAAATTATGCAACCATTTTAGAAAATAGTTTTGCACTTTCTTAAAAAGTTAAACATATACCTACCGTATAACCCAGCCATTACACACCTGGGTATTTATCCAAAAGAAATAAAAGCATATGACCACACGCAAAGATTTGTAGTCAAATGTTCATAGCAGCTTTAGTATAATAACAAACAAGTGGATAGAACCTTGGTGCCCATTAACAGGTAAATGAATAAATAGTCTGTTACAGTAAAATTGAGTAATATTAGCAATAAGAAATAAACTATCTGGGCTGGCCCCGTGACTCACTCGGGAGAGTGCGGTGCTGGTAGCACTGAGGCTGTGGGTTCGGATCCTATATAGGGATGGCCGGTGTGCCCCCTGGCTGAGCGTGGTGCAGACCACACCATGCCGAGGGTCACGATCCCCTTACTGGTCAAAAAAAAAAAGAAAGAAACTATCTATGCAGGCAATAGTGTGGGTAAATCTCAAAATAATTAGGCTGAAGGAAAGAAGCCTAGTTAAAAAGAATTTCATTCATACAATATACTAGAAATTGCAAATTAATCTGTGGAGATATAAAATGGATAAATGATTCCTAAAGGATGGGGGCAGAGGTATGGTAAGCAGAGATTACAGTGCTGCATAGGAATCATGATACTAAAAGATATGTTCATTATCTTGATCATTGTGAT